AATTAAAATATAATCAACAATTAAAGTAATTATATAATGATTTTAATAAAATGATAATTAAAGAATAGGAAACATGTATCATAGTTAATTATATATATATATATATATATATATATATATATATATATATATATATATATATATATATATATATATATATGTGTGTGTGTGTGTGTGTGTGTGTGTGTGTGTGTGTGTGTGTGTGTGTGTGAGATAATAATGATAGAATTATGAAACTTTAGAATTAAATAGCAACGGTGTAATAACGGTATAATGGTATTTTAATCTAACAAGAATGTAGTACACTAGTACGGATAATTTTATTCATTATATTTGAAGTGTGCAATATTTAATGAAAAATGTATCCCCTTATTAGCATACAAATGTGAATACAGACATGAATGTGGGTATAGCTTAGTAGGTAAAGTTCTTAGTTTATAATCAAATGAGTAAGGGTTCAAACCTCACCTTAAACATTTAATATAATATATATCTATTAATATAAAAAAAAAAAAAAAAAAAAAAAAAAAAAAAAAAAAAAAAACCGATCGGGTTATCGGTTTAGTTCGGTTTTAACCGAACCGAACCGAACCGAACCAATCGGTTTCACCTAAACTAAGACTGATCGAACCGAACCAATCGGTTTCACCTAAACTAAGACTGATCGGTCTTTCGGGTAGAAACCGAACCGGTTCAGTTCGGTTCGGGTCCCGAACCGATTTGCCCAGCCCTACCACCAACCCACATCAACTGTTATTTATTGAGGCACGGCAATTATATATAACCTATATATGCAAGCAGGGCACGGCAATTATATATAACCTATATATGCGAGCAGGGCAGCCTCCACCACTGGCCGGCGGCGGGTCCCGCCGGCCACCTCAGGCCGAGGCGCGGCCAGCGGGGGCAGTGCGCCCCCCAGATTGTCAACGGCACCCCCCCCCCCCTTTCCCGAGGGGGTGCTGGGCGGGTGCGCCGAGCATGGTGGATCAGGGTGGTATGCGCGGGAGTTTTAGAAGTATGGCTTAGAAGTATGGCGAACGTGCCCGCTTGCATAGCGATAAATAGGGAAGTGGGGATGGATTGCATGGGACACGTGGACGCTAGAGGAGGAGGGGGGCTTGCTATAAATAGGGGCCCTGGATCTCTGGCTAGGGGGCAACGTAGTCACGACAGGCACACTAGTCCAGTGGTCTTGATCCCATACTCTCAATCCAGTCACCTGGGTTCAATTCCAAGTAGTAGCATAGTTAGCAATAGCCCATCCTGTGGGCCATGTTCTTTGTATTGGGGCCATCATTCTGGGCCTGTACCTCGAGGTTTGTACGTATTGTTTAGGGCCTAGCGCCCCGGGTAATAAAGTCATACTTGCATACCCCCGTCCTATGTTCTTATACCCTGTTTATGGTGGACCCGGTCCTAATAAAATCATCAATTGGAATAGAACTTTTAGGAATTGGGTGGGAAGTTAAAGTTGAGGATTTTGTTTTTATATATATAGTATAAATTATATTTTAAATGAGGAATAAGGGTCAAATTGGCCACTTAACTGCACATCACATTGCAAATGGGCCATCGAACTACAAAAAGATGCAATTGGGTACTTGAACTGCGCATATACATTCAATTCGATCCAAAATGACTTGTTTTACCTGCTGACGTGGCGCTATTGAATTTAAAAATTTTTTTTTAAATAATTTTAATTAAAATAATTATTTAAAAAAAAAAAAAAACTTCGTCACCCGCTCGTCTCCGCCGGAGACGAAGGGATGGCCGATTCGTCTCTCCTTGGCCCTCCAACAGAATGATATACATTCCCCCCAATGAACCCATTTTTCCCCCTTGTTTGAGGGACAATTAAACATAGGAGAAAAAGGGGTCCAAGTTGTGGCCTGACCTTTATATTTCTCCCAGATACAGAAAACCCCAACAACAAAAATAAACTTCTTTCCCATCAATAATTGGTGGGGGAGAAGAAATTGCTACAGCCTGGAATGCCATTTTGCAATTTTGGCACCGCAAAGTACAGTCGACATAAGCCTCGGGGTACTGAAACATATGATAGCAATACGGGCAAGCAGTCCAGAAGCTAGGAATGTCATTCTTTGGCTCATCTTCCTTCAATTCATCATTATTTGATTCATCTACTCAGATTATCGGTAGAACCACCTGAGCAATAGTTTCTTTCGAAACCCTCATTTTGCTGCAGTGATGGCTCATTCCTTTGCTAATACACAGTAGAGTTCTCGGTGGGAGCAACAGGAGGTGGAGGTGGCGGTTGGGCTCGAACCGAGCTTGGCGTAAAGGAAAATGGTTGTGGTTCACTACTCGAGCCAGGCATATAGACCACTGTCGGTAGTTGCTCTACATTCAAGCTGGGCACGGAGGTTACGGAGGTGGTTGGTCCCTTCGTCTCCGGTTGTCTCCATGGCCTGCAGGTAGAGACCTTTTTTTTTTCCTTCTAAATAATTATTTTAATTAAAATTATTTCAAAAATTATTTTTATATTCAATAACCGCCACAACTGGTAAAACAAGTCATTTTGGGTCGAATTGGTGTATTTACGCAGTTCAGGGACCCAATTGCATTTTTTTTTAATTCGATGGTCCAATTGCAATGTGGTGTGCACTTGAGTGGCCTATTTGACCTTTATTCCTTTAAATAATACTCCGTAATTTTTTTCATTTTTTTTGAATACTCTGTAATTTATTATTAATATTTATAATTTTGTATATAATATAATAAAAAAAAAGAGTTAATTTCATCAATGGTCCTTCGACTATGTTGATTTTTCACAATTGGTCCCTGACTTTTAATTTGGATAATTTAGACACTTAACTTTCGAAATCTTTCCAATGTTGGTCCTTCCATTAGTTGAAGGTTAAGTGGATGTTAATTTGAGAGGTAAAGTAGTCGGCACTTGCTTAGAGTATAATTTACCTTCCTTGGTCCCGTGTTGTTTTCCGGCATGTCTGTGACGATCGTCCTCCGCCAAAAGACATGTTCGCCGCCATGTTTTTAAAGTCCAGTCTGAGAAAGCAGATGGGCGACACAAGGTCGCGTCTTGCAGTTGGCCATCAACGGCGAAGCTTTGGGCATAGTTAATCCAATTCACACAACATAACAGCCAATATAGCACACTCTTCTTTCAGAGCCAGCCTTCGAACCTCACTGCCAATGTTTCCACCGAGGTCCACCAAGCTGGCTGGACCAACAGATTCCCAGCACCTCACTGCCCACGTATAGCACAGCAGCTTGTGCAACCAGACCTCCCAACTTCAATTTTCATAATCAAATCAATTTAATATGCAATTCCATTTCCAGTAACACTCCCAATGGCCTTTCTTTTTTCAATTTCCAGTAGCTTACTCCACTTAACAACTTTGTCTGGCGGAGGATGGTCGTCACAGACAAGCCGAAAAACAGCACGACGACCAAAGAAGGTGAATTATACTCTAAGCAAGTGAAATGACTACTTTACCCCTCAAACTAACGTTGACTTAACTTTCAAATAACGGAAGGACCAACATTGGAAAGATTTCGAAAGTCAAGTATCTAAATTGTCTAAATTAAAAGTCAATAACCGATTGAAAAAAATCAAAATAGTCGGAGGACCATTGCTGGAATTAACTCATAAAAAAATTAATAATGGAGCATGAGACTCCCTCAGTCCCTTAAAAGCGAAGCCTCATGCTCAATTTGCCAAAGGCCATTACAGAAGCAAAATTGCATTTGGCAAACTGCTAAGGGGTCGTTTGGTTCACGGAATGTCAGATTACCTTTGGGAATGTTAGATTGCTGGGAATGTTAGATTCCTGTGTTTGGTTAAAATTGGGGTATGTAATATAATCTTGTTTGGTTTAGGGTTATCTTTTATTCACACACTATAATATCCTTAACATATTTTCATATATTTTAATAAATTTTAAAATTAAAATAAATAAATAAGATAACGGTATCGTGTATAATTACATTGAACTTGAGAAACAAAATTATTTTATATGCTAATCTAACATAATAAAAATAAAAAATATATAATTACAAAATAATTATATATGTGTGTGTGTATGTGTGTGTGTGTGTGTGTGTGTGTTTGTGTGTGTAATAAACTAACATAACTAAGGTTATCTTACATAACCTTAGAAATTGAAGGGACTCACATTCCCTTCAAAATCCTATGTGGATGGAATGTGACATTCCTGGAAAATGTTAGATTCCTTGAGATAATGTGAACCAAACATAGGAATGTGAACTTTGGAATGTTACATTCCCTTGGTTATGTTATATAACCTGAACCAAACGCCCCCTAAAAGCTAAAGCCAACAGCGTTTTAGAAGTTGGCAATTTGTCATCAAATCGATGTCTAAATTCGCCATTAATCAAAACATACTTTTTATAATTTTGACAAAGTTAAACTGCTACAGTAGTCAAATCCGTCAAAATGTCATTTACCAAACAAATATGGAGTATATAAAACATTTTTTTTGGAGCACTTTTTTTTAGAATATATTGTTCTTTTTAAAATTATACTTATGCAGTAATGTGCTTCTTTGATTGTTGATTTACAGTATCATTTTGTGAGGAAGATGGATTGGCACTAAACAAAAAGTTGCTGTTAGTCTTCAGGATAGTAGTATACCCAGTGGCTTATTTTCCTTCACTTTACAATATTAATTCATGAGAGTTATCCTAAATGATGATAAATAAAGTTCAATTTTTTAAAATAATAATCAAAATTCGATTGAATTAGCACATATCTTACACAAAAACTACTCAAATACGAAACGGAATATGAATTGCTAAAGTTTTTCACTTTCATGTCTGTATAGAAAGTCTTTTATGCTTTTTACATAAATCATACTGTAGTGATGCTTCACTGTATTTTCTACTAGCCGAAAAAAAAAAACATTGCTTCATCTATAATCAATGATGATCGTTGAATAACTTTTTCATAGAACATCTGAAATATAAACGTATTCCAACCAAGAATAAAATAGATATAAAATTAAGAAAATTGAGAATTCATAAGAACTGAAATTCATATGATTAATATCAGAGTCACATTGTAACAATCAATCTGAGATTGATTCAGAACAGAACGCCCAATTTAACCCTAATCATCAACCCTAGATCTAAACACCACCGAAATATACACCGCCGATATCAAAACCTAACCGCCGAATCCGTACAGAGTGCGGCCCTGTCTCTTGAGAGCATAGACGACGTCCATTGCGGTGACCGTCTTCCGGCGAGCGTGCTCAGTGTAGGTAACAGCGTCGCGGATGACGTTCTCGAGGAAGATCTTGAGGACGCCGCGAGTCTCCTCGTAGATGAGGCCGGAGATACGCTTCACTCCACCACGGCGAGCAAGACGGCGAATGGCCGGCTTCGTGATGCCTTGGATGTTGTCCCGGAGGACCTTACGGTGTCGTTTCGCTCCTCCCTTTCCCAAACCCTTACCGCCCTTTCCACGCCCAGACATTTTCAGCAAATTCTTCTCTTCTTCGCTAAGGAAATCTGACCTGTCTTTTGATCACGCTGTTAAATGATTGAGATTTTGGGAGGTCTATATAACGAAGTGAAGTGGAGAACAACCGTTGGATTTGTTATGAGAATTGACGGTGAGAGATGGTAATCTGCGTGATGCGGGTTGGAGCTCATTAACGCCGTTGATAGCATTTGAATCGACGCTGTAGAGATTGCCTCTCACGTGATGACGCAGATCGTGGTTTTTTTGGAAGCGTGAGGTGGTCCCGCGTGTTTAGATTTTGAATTTGGGAAGTTCAGTAAACGGAGTAAAAATTTTCGAAAAAGCGGCAAATTTTATAGAGTGAAATTTTTATTATTTATATCTTGTAACTATAGTGCAATATATCTTGTAACTATTATCTTTTAACTTTAAATTTTATAATTTAATAGTAAATATTTCTATTTTATAATAAGGAATAAGGTCAAAATTGGTCATTATAACCTGAAAATGCAATTAAAACACTGAACAAAAAAAATACAATTAGGCCACTAAACACTTCAGATGTATGCAATTTCACATTATAGTAGGTTACCATTCATTTCATCAGGTTGCATGCTTACGTGGATGATGAGTTGTCATTTTAAATAATTTTTAATAATAAACTTTAAGGTGGCCGCCGGCCACCACCTCCCCCCTCCTCCGTCTCCAACGAAAACAAAGGAGGGGAAAAAGGGGTGGCGTGAGACGAAGGACCTGTCTCACCCACCCTTCACCCCCTTCCCCCATTCACCCATTCCTTCATCTTTGCTGGAGACGAAAAATTATTTTTTTTATTTGTAAAGTTTATTATTAAAAATTATTTAAAATGTCAACTCACCATCCACGTAAGTAGGCAACCTGCTATCAGGTGAAATTGCATACATTTGGAGTGTTCAATGGTCTAATTGCACTTTATTCATTCAGTGACTTAATTGCACTTTTAGGTTACGTTCAGTGACCAATTTAAACCATATTTCTTATAATAATTATATCTTAGTATATTTAATAATTGGAGAAAAATTATGTTGCCAATTGACACCGTGCCTTTTTGTGAAAATTTAAAGTCAAATAATGTAAAAATAAAATTAACTTTATACTCAGTACAAACTCAAAATCTTAACCATTCATTTTGAGATGATACCGAATATAAGAGTCATAAGCAACGATATATCATTAGAATTTTCCTTAATAATTATAATCAGGGAAGTGTTCAATTCCACCCACGAACTAAAATCATGGTTGCAGTAGGCGCTAGGCGCTAGTCAGGCGCCCGGACAGTGCCTAGCGCCTAGGCGGAATCTAGACGGGCGCCAAAAAAATAGTGGTAGACTTGCAGTTTGACAATTTTAATGAGGTTATTTTCAACATTTAATCAAATAACACACCCAAATAAATGAATTAATAATAATTTATAAGTCATAACATCAAAACAATAGTTTTCAAAAAAAAAAACATTAAAACAATATTAAAAATTAAAAATACTCAAATATGAAATAGTCAAATACTTCAATCATCCAAAGATTCAAAGTATCAAACTAGTCTACGAGTGTATATATATGTCATATTATATATATATGTATGTGCGCGCGCGCGCACACACACACATATAATAAAAAAATAGGCCGAGGCGATCGGGTTAACTCGACCGAAATGGATGAGTTAACTCGACTAACTTAGACGCTAGGCGGTCAAATTGGCCGAGTTAGGCGCTAGGCGGACCCCTAGGCGGCCGGTAACCTAGGCGGGCGCCTAGGAGGGAAATCGCCACGGTCTAGAGGCGCCTAGCGCCTATGCGGGCGCCTAGACCGATTTTTACAACCCTGACTAAAATATAGTCTAATCAGCCACACTAATTTTCTAGATTTGTGTCATTTAGCATGTTTCGCAGGTAACCACCCGGTTACCTATCTTTGTGGTTGACGTGGAAATAATTGTTAATGACATGGAGTATTAGCAAACCCTAGAGTGTAATCAGCCACGTCCTTCTCCTTAGTTCACAACACGTCTTCAGAGTTTGGCTTCGTCTTTAGAGTGAACGAAATTAGCTCTCCATTCTTCAAGCTTCATTCGTGATTCTCCTTGGCTTCGTTAATAGAGCTGGGCTTCGTCAAGATTCAACTGTATAATGTCATCATCAGCGGCTTCATCTAGCGTGCGAACTAACTTGGAGTATGAGCATCATATATATTGTAGGTGTGGATTGAAGGCTCCAATCTGCACAACCCAAGAATCTGGGAAGAAATTTTATGGATGTCAAAGGTGGAAGGTGCATTTATATCCATAAATGTATATATTGTTGTTAATTTTGGATTGATATTTTTAAAAAATTTGTTCAGGAGGGTCTTGGGTGTGGCTTTTTCGTATGGAAAGAAATTGAAAACGCAAAGTGGAATGGAGGAATTGAAGAAATTGGTAGCAAGCATGAGGGTTGACTTGATGAGTGAAATAGGTCTTCTACGTGCAATAGTTGAGAGTGAAGTGCAGCAGAGGAAATTGAAGGAGAAGAAATATGCAAAGAGAAAGTGGTTTTTGATTTCTTTATTAATTGTGTTAGTATTAGTGAAGATTATGTTGTAGTGAATCTTGTAAACCCTAGTTAAGATTATGTTGTAATTGTTAGTGAATGAAATGGCATTCTGCAAACATTGAGCATTTTGTTTCTTTGAATCAAATGGCTAGTAAACTCATTATAATTTGTTTCTGTTCTTTCATTTTTCTTATCAAGATTCACTTTACATATAATAATGAAGCTTATTATAATGATGTTATGTGGTGTTATTCTGGGATTTAGGTAACTGAAAATAATTGCTGAAGTTGAATCTCAGGGCCTCAATGATTGCGGAAGAGTAAAGAGAAAGGGGGAGAAAGTATATGCATCTACTTTTATTCACTTTGAGATTGCTCCTGGTTTTTTTCTTTCTGATGGTGACATGAATGTATATCCAGTATCTACAGATTGGTTAATGGAAGATGACATATGATTCAAAAGAAACTACTATAGTAGGGTATGATCCTAAAATACACTGCCAAACAACAACTTCACTGCCAAACAAAAATAGCACAAAACATACTGCATTAATGCAATAACACTAACAGTTAGAATTGCCAAAAGATACTGCATTGTCTACACAAACATACTGCCAAACATACTGTCTTGTTTACAAAAATATACTACTAACATAAAATATTCTACTTGTTATAGTTACAAGCCAAGACAAAACATTGCTACTAAGATAAATACATCAGAGTTAATTCCCTCCAATTGAACTGTTGGCCATGCTACTTGTGCTAGGTGTGTTGGTCCTCCCCCTTCTAGGTTTATATATGACTCGTTGACTTGGTAGTCCACACTATACAAAAATAAAACAAGATCTTAACTATCTACAAAGTAAGATAACAATAGTGCAAGTAAATTAGTCTACATCATTCCTTACATTTAGTGTGACTTCTCCAGTGTGTGGGTTTGTATATATACCAAGGCCAACTTGTGTTCCACCTTTTTCTGCACCAGAATGTCCACTTTTTGCAGCAGAAGTGCTTCCTCTTGCATTTGAACTTCCTCCTCTTGCAGCAGCAACATTAGAACTCCCTCCTCTTGCATTTGAACTGCCAATCTGCCTTGGTTGAGTATGACAGTAACGTTTGTTGTGTCCCTTTTGCTTACACAGTGCACAAGTCATAACTCTTCCCTGTCTGGACAACTAAGTAGTGGACCGTGAAGGCCTATGTTCTGACTCTTCTTGTTTTCTTCTTTTCTTAGGCCTTCCAGTTATCTTCTTGGGAGCAGGTGCATGTATCTTCTCATTTTGAGTTTTTGACCAAAAAATCTCACCATTTATGGGTTGAATCACATGTGTATATGTTTTGATATACACAGCCTTAGAGTACCAATCATGCATAAACACTTCTGGTTGTCTTCCTTTGTCAAAAATAGCACAAATTGCATGTGCACATGGGATACCAGTGAGATTCCAAGACCTGCAAGAACAACTCCTCCTTTGAATGCTGACCTTAAACTAATGTTTTCCTTTCTTTATCTCATATCCATCATCACCATTGAAATCAACCTCCCATCCAACACTTTCAACAATGTTATCATTTAACTTCTTCATAATAAAGGACCCAAACTGCCCATTCCACTTTTCAACAAAAAGACTTCTTTGCAGCAATCCTCTTCATCATTCCAACTCTAATGTCCTCTAACATTAAAACTATTGGTTTTGACCTAGCCTTTAAGAGTGTGCTGTTGAAGGCTTCTGAAAGGTTATTGTCCACTATGTCACACTTAACCTCTGTTCTAAAAAAAGACTTAACACCATTAACGGGTTCAATAGACCCATTGAACCCACAGTGGGGCATGACAACCTGCATTGGCATCGCTAGCTTCATTTATCCATTTTGATAGATCAATGATTGATGGTTGCTAAAAAAATAATGATAGAATTTGTTGCATTAGTTTTATAAATTTTGCAAACTTAAAAGTTTACAATATGGCTCGTAAATTTTTTTTTAAACTAAAACTCACAACCATTAATAAACTCTAATCGGCAACCGTAATTGATTCTCACTTTTTTTTTTTTTTTTTTTTTTTTTGCAATAAAACCATGTTCTCATTTTAAACCCTGGGTTCCCTATTAAGAATAGTAATGCGGGTGGGGCTATATCTAGAGATGATCACAGTACGATTCGAATCGAACCGTGCATTGTTGGAACCAAACAGAGTTTTGGATTCGATTTCAAAATATTTAGAACCGAAATTGCCGATTTTGGTTCCAAACCAAAAAAAAAATGTAAAAACAAATATTATTATTATTATTTATTTGATTAATGTTTAAACTTTAAATAACATTTTAAAGTTCAATGATTACAATTACTTTTTAATATAGTTTATGTTTCATATAACAATTTTAAAAAATAAAATTGTTGAATTTGGACAAGTTTAAAAATACAAAATAAAATTTACAAAAAAAAATAATAATAAAATCTGGTTCGAACCGAAACCGCTAGTTTCGGAATCGAATTTGGAATCATTATACAAGGTTCAGTTC